TGTATACGCATGTAACGCAGCAAAGCGAAAGAATTTTGAACTAATCAGCACACCACCCGGAACAACTTTGCCGCATGTACAACTTTACCGATGATAGTAACTTAATGAATGGTGAAGACCTCAAGCATATTTTATATGCACAATAGCGTCGTATACAGAAACAATTTTGAACTACTGTTCACCAGCCAAATGGCCTTGACCCCCTAAAAAACTTTTCCGATGACAGTAAATTTCTAGCTGTTCGGGATCTTGTGCTATATCATATATGATGATTACACGTGTACACATGCTAGCGCTGGCTGGGAGCAATCGGCATAGACCCAAGCAACGGAAACGGACTAACGATTGCAAACTCGGAACATGGAACTGCAAGTCTCTCAATTTCTTGGGAAGTACGCAGTATGCAACAGGTTTGCTGGAAGGGATCGTTGGTACATACGTATAGGGATGGTTATACCATCTAACAGAGCTGCGGCAATACACATGAGCAGGGTACAGCTTTCATCGTGATGGGCGAAATACAGAATCACGTGATTGGGTGGTGACCAATCGATAGCAGAATGTGCAAGTTGAGGATCAAAGGCCGTTTCTTCGATGTCAGCATAATCAACGTGCACAGTCCTCACTTAGCAAGTGACGATGACGATAAAGACGCTTTTTACGCGCAGCTGGAACGGGAATACGACAGCTGCCCAAGCCATGACATCAAAATCGTCATCGGATATCTTAACACTCAGGTCGGCCATGAGGAGGAATTCAGACCGGTTATAGGAAAGCTCAATGCTCACCAGCTAACGAACGCAAACGGCCTTAAACTCATCGATTTCGCCGCCTCTAAATACATGTCCATACTTAGTACTTACTTCCAGCATAGCCTCCCATATCGGTACACCTGGAGATCACCGCAGCAGACAGAATCGCAAATCGACTACGTTTTGATCGACTGAATGCACTTCTCGGACATTATCGACGTCAGGATCTATCGCGGCGCAAATATCGATTCGGACCACTACTGTTGCCAACAACATTCGGTACCGACGCTCGCACGGTACAATCTGGAGTGACTGAAGCTGCTCGAAGTCGCAACTGAGTACATGCAATGCCTCGACGCAGCGTTGCCGGATGAGGGAGAGCTCACCGAAGCCCATCTTGAGGACTGCTGGAGCAACGTGAAAGCAGCCATTAACAGCGCTGTTGAAGGCGCCGTTGGGTTCGTGGAGCGGAATCGACGGAACGATTGGTTCAACGGTTTTGGACGAGAAGAACGCAGCGCGGGCGGTGATGCTGCTGCAAGGAACCCGTCATAATGTGGAGCGATATAAACAGAAGCGAAGACAGCAAACCCATCTTTTCCGGGATATGAAGCGCGGCCTGGAAGAGCTGGAGTGAGAAAAAATGGAGCAGCTTTATCGTTCTCAAGAAACACGCAAGTTCTACAAGAAACTCAACGCATCCCGCCAAGGCTTTGTGCCGCGAGCCGAAATGTGTCGGGATAAGGAAGGGGGTATCTTAAAGGACGAACGTGAGGTGATTGAAAGGTGGAAGCAGCACTACGATGAACATCTGAACGGCGCAGAGGCGGAGGACCAAAGTGGCAGCAGGAATGGCTTCGTCGGTACAGCGGATGAGGGGGACATGCCAGCTCCCACGATAGGTGAAGTTAAGGATGCTATCCGAAAGCTTAAGAACAACAAAGCAGCTGGGAAAGATGGTATCAGAGCGGAACTTATCAAAATGGCCCGGATAAGTTGGCCACATGTCTGCACCGACTCATAGTCAGGATCTGCGATACAGAACAGCTACCGAAGGAGTGGAAAGAGGGAGTAATATGCTCAGTATATAAAAAGGCGACAAACTAGAATGTGAGTACTATCGAGCAATTACTATTCTTAACACCACACTGTAGGCCACAAAGTGCTTTCCCAGATCATCTTTCGCCGTTTATCGCCGCTAGCAAGCAGATTTGTGGGAAGTTATCAAGCCGGTTTTGTGGACGGGCGATCGACAACGGACCAAATCTTTACGTTGCCGAAGATCCTTCAAAAGTGTTGTGAATATCAAGTCCCTACGCACCACCATCGATTTTAAGACCGTTTATGATACTATTGACTGTGAAGAGCTATGGAAGATTATGGACGAGAACGATTTTCCCGGGAAGCTGACCAGACGGATCAGGGCTACGATATCGATATCGAGTGCGTTATCGGACTCGTTTGAAACTTGCAGAGGACTTCGACAAGGCGACGGTCTTTCCTGCCTCCTGTTTAACATTGCGCTAGAAGGTGTTATGAAAAGTGCGGTCTTTAACATGCGGGGCACGATCTTCAATAAGTCCAGCCAGTTCATCTGCTTCGCTGACGACGTGGACTCTGTCGGAAGAACGTTTCAGGCAGAGGCGGAGCAGTACATCAGGCTGGAACGGGAACCAGAGAAGGTTGGATTAAAGGTGAATACGTCGAAGACAAAGTATCTGTTAGCTGGAGGAACCGAGCGGGAGAGGGTTCGCATAGGCAGAAGCGTGACAATCGACGGAGATGAGTTCGAGGTGGTGGATGTATTTGTGTACCTCGGATCATTGGTGACGTCGGATAACAACTGCAGCAGAGAAATTCGTTGGCGTATTATTGCCGGAAGTCGTGCTTGCTACCTGCTCCACAAGACCCTGAGGTTGGGTAGACTTCACCTCCGTACTAAATCTACCATGTACAAGACGCTAATAAGACCGGTAGTTCTCTATAGGCACGAGACGTGGACGATGCTCGAGAAGGACCTGCAAGCACTGGGTGTTTTCGAACGACGAGTGCTTAGGACCATCTTTGGCGGGGTATGTGAGAACGGTGTATGGAGGCGAAGGATGAACCACGAGCTGGCGCAACTCTATGGCGAACCCTGTATCCAGAAAGTTGCGAAAGCTGGACGGGTACGATGGGCGGGACACGTTTTAAAACTGCCGGACAACAATCCCGTAAAAATGGTGTTTGCCTCGAATCCGGCCGGTACAAGACGAAGTGGATCACAAGTGGTTAGACCAAGTGGAGCAGGATCTTGGAAGTGTGGGACGGTCAAGAATTTGGAGACAAGCAACCACGGACCGAGTGAATTTGCGTAACATTGTGATGCAGGTGCAATTCTGAGGGATGTCGGACCAGGATAAGTAGTAAGTACATACTAGCGCTGCACAGTGAGACCATTCTGAACTGCTAACGATCAGAAAAGGCCTTACCCCCCTGAACAACATTGCCGAAGACAGTAACTTTCTAGCTGGACAGGAACTCGAGCTATAGCATATGCGAGAATTGCGCATAGAATATTGTCCACCAGGCAACAGATATTGACTTCCTGAACAACTTTGTCAAATACAATAACTAACTATATGCATGAAGTGCATATATATATAATCTTCAAGTCAGTTTCTGGTCACTTTCAAATCATGCTCGATTGTAATCAATGTGGTCGTGGGTATAGATGATATGATATATGTTTCTTTAATCATACTGCTTCACTCTTCTTTAGAAGGAAATCCTGCCCAAATAGTGGGAATAAACGAAGTTAAGACGTTCAGACGCCTGAGATGTTTTTCTATTTCGTGCTAGAATTCTGCAACTTTATCTCCCGCTAAATTAAAAAAAAGTTTGATATAAATCTTTAAATCAGACCATGAAAGTGTATCTTCTACTCGAAATGACTTCTAAGAATAGAATAGTTGTAGGAAATAGGTATTGTCAGGATGACACAGTTCAAGGGAAATTCTGGTAAAAATAATATCACTCAAAAGCTCATATCGCCTCATCATTAGGACTTTATTGTAACGATTTCCATATCGGTTGGATGGGTTGATATTTGAAACATTATTAAATCCACGTTCTCCATGTTTCTATCGCCATTCTTCTATGCGCATTGTTTTATTTTCCTATGAGATTGTTATTTTTATTGCATTGACCAAGCAATAAAACGGAAGCATCGGCAAAAAGAAGCTGCATGTAGCGGGAAATGGCTTGTAAAATCGATACTACCGGGAGCTGGTCTCTAAGCGGGGTGTGAGCGTTAAAATCGTTTTGCTGTTCCGTCTCGGTGTCTCTTAATTGAGCTATTACGCTCAACGACTGTGAAATTTTTTACAATTTTCATTTGTGCTTGACACACACTCACTCACATACACACTCGTCACCGCTTTCTCTCTGGTGGAAAGCCGAAGATTAAATAAGCTTTATTTTCACGGGACTGGAACGTGGAAGGAAGAAAGGAAAACAAAGCGCTAAATATGGTGCTTGTTGCTATTTATTACTTATGAAATCGGATTGAGGAACAAACGAAGCAAAAGCTTGGTGCGCGGGAGATAAGTGGAAAAGTACGTACACGCTTCCTTCACGAAGGATATTTTGACATTATATGCACAAAGGAGGAGCTTTATATGTACAGAGTAGACTCCAGTTGGAAGTGTGAATTTTGCATCAACGACAGTGTTTCAAGTGTGTTTTTGTGTGTGTGTGTGAGTGTTGTTGCGAGTGGTAGTTTTAAAGTTATGCAAAACGCTTGAGAATAAAGTGTGCATACGAAAAAGTAGATAAGGAATCAGTTTTACAGATTTCAGGTAAGAGTTATGTTGACGGTTGATTGTATATTTTGATGTTCGTTTCAGCGTCCAGTCGTCGAATGAGAATTTGGAAAAGTTGTCCGAGCTCACTAATTGGGAAGGGGAAGAACAGAGTTGCAAGAAAATGTGTGAATATTCCCATGAGAAATGGTTCATGACGGGAACAAATGTGATGAACTACAATGGGAATTTCTTCAAGATTTTCACTATAGATATCATTCACAGAGCTAAATGATTCCACTAAATACGTATAGGGCGCAACAGGAAATTGGGTTGGTACAACAAAGGGTGAATAATTACGATATAGACAACAGAAGGGTTGTCTAAATAAGGTTGGGTCCAAATACGAGTACTTCAAACTAAATTAGGTTGGATTGGTTTGAAGTATATGCTAAATTTACAGTACCTTTGCAAGTAACTTTCCGTAGCCCTTTTTCGTAGGACGCTTCAGAATTTCAAAATGAAAAAAAAAAATAAAATAAAAATATTACTTTTATTTCTGTTATGATCTAATGTAAAGAATAATTACTTCCCTACGTTACTACTTTTTTTTAATTAAAGTTATCTAGATCTATTATTCTAACATTTTTAACTACTGACAAATGTAGTACATATATTCTATTTTGTATATTTCAGCACAGTTCAACGCAATAGGATTTATTATTATTCATATGACACTTAAACTGTAAGCTACCGATAGTAGATTTTGAACTTGAAAACAAATACAGCAACAACTGAATCTCGAATGTTGAGCTCCGTCGTCGATGATTTCAGAAGCCGATATAATTTGAAATTCGTGAACATAAGTGAAGGTAGGGCCTGCCGAATACAACAAAAGGGTGGGAATGACATGAGCAAGCAAGCGCTGCACTAGCAAAACCCAGTGGGACGTCCCAGCAGAGGAAAACCCAGGAAGTCATGACGGTGGATCCTCAACAAGCCGATAGGAATTTGACTAGGGCCCATGTCAAAGTAAAAACAAGCAGCCGCCAAGGATGGACATCTTTCACGATGGCCTTTAGCTCCACTTGATATGCTCAGCATACTTGAGTAAGTGTGGGGTTTGAACTTTCAAATGTATCAGAACGTTATTAATCTATGAGTACAACCGAGTGTTGGTGGTGGGATACGACTTGAATGCATTATCTAGCGAAATAGTTATAGATTCAGAAGCATTTTTGTAGTAATGATTGGGGCATACTGACAAATATCATATCATAGATATTGGTCATAATCAAAGAGTAACAATTTATAGAGTGCTCACTCAAAATATCGATTTTTCTCCACCAAGCTCAATCGATTCTCAATCAGGTTTTGAAAATTCTCTCAAAATTTTAGATCATTTGGTTGCGAACTCATACTGTACTGGCCCTTAAAAGCTTATATGAGAATTACTATATTCGTTTTGTGACAGTGGGATCAATTTCGTGGACTGTGCACTTTTACGGGTGTTCCGGAGTGCACTTCAATCATGTCGAAAATCTCATGTAATATTTATGGCCACACCAATAAACACTGTAGCCATGATAATTTTGTCCTTTTTGGCAAGCAATATTACACCATATTTTTGTCACGATTGAAGTGCATCCACTTTGATGTGATATTAAAATTAATTTTTTGCTGTGTACACTCGAGAGCGCTCTCAAGCAGGATTGTTTGCACTCACTTACTATAAATAATTTTTCTTCGGAATTATGAAATCATCAGATGATACAACGATAATCAGTACTTGTTAGCTACAAAATGAGGTTGTAAAATATGTGTTTGACACATACAAACTGTCAATATTGCTTTCAGAGCGGCACAATAAGCGATTTTACGATTCGTGAGCGCTCACTCACTACGAATCATGAAATCGTTGATTGTGGCGCTTTGAAAGTGAATTGACAGAACACTTAGAAAAAATAATGTAAATTTACTCAGATATAGTTCTGAATTTTAATTGTTATGTAAACATTCATTCACGTAGACTTGTATTTCATTTCACGCAACTGAGCAACTTGCAAACAATGTTGATTACAAAGATGGGCTTTTGTATACAACATTTTCTACATTGCATGAAATGTGTCAGTTTACATGATATGTAATTTAAACGTTTATCATATGTGACGCCCCATTTATGTGCATCACATTGAACAGAAATTTACACTACTTTTTCGACTGTGTAGGTTTTCTGTGACTGACATATACGAGCGTCAATTTTGGCATAAAATTGAGTCATAACTGACGCAAAATTCAACTCAATCAAACGTACTTTTCGTCGAAAACAAACTGTTCAGTCTCGGGCACTTAATTTTACATGAAATATTTGTTTACGTCTGATCCTTTATGTCAAATATGGATTCCGTCACGTGTAAAATTAGTTATTTCTAAGTGTGAGGTTTTATTATTAGAACACATACTTTTCAATCTCTTCTTGTAACTTACTAGTACATAATGTCATAATAACATCTAATGATTTCATAATTCCGAAAAATATCTTCTATAGTATATCAGTGGAAGCAACCGTGCTATCAAATGTACCTACAGTGAAAACACAGAGTGTGACTCTACGGTGTTGATATTTTGAAATTTGATAGGGATATTAATAGCTCTAACTACCGCTTTAAGATGGGTTCACTAAAAATTTTATTTGATTTAACGTAGGCATTCTATATTGAGAAGTAACGAAAAAGTCCCAAAATAACGACGATCTATTCCTGGTCCCATGGCCATCTAATGTTTATGCCACAACCCCACATTCATGCTTATATCACACTTTCTAATGTTCTTAAAAAACGAAGTTCTAGGATCGTTTGAATAGAATGATCACTTTTACGTATCTTCCGGATCTTCCAAAGAACGGTCTCCGGGTCGATGTTTATGTCACGACCCCAAATTATTTCTTATATCACAATTCCAAGTGTTTTCGAAATACAACGGAGATCTAGAAGCAGTTCCATGGATTTACCATTTTTACGGTTGTTCCAGATCTTCGAAAGGATGGTTTCATGGCCATCAGGGTCGATGTTCATGTTACGGCGTAAAATTATTTCGTATATCACAGTTCCGTAAAACCGCGGAGCTCTTGGATCAGTTACAAAGTTTGACCACTTTTAGGGATGCTTCAGATGTTTCTTTTTGGCCATCCGGGTGCAATTTTTCGTCACGACCACAAATTCACAGCTCTAAGTGTTTTCGGAAAACCACAGAGCCCTAAGATCAATTCCGTGGATTTTCGATTTTTACGGAAGTTCGACGCCCAATTATTTCATATATGGGAAATGGTTGGCCTAAATGCCCCTAATTTGGGCCCATACATAAATTCAGCAATCGCCTAAATTTTTAATAGCGACCAAAAATATCCATTAGTACTGCCCCATCTAGATAAAATTGATAAATAGCAGATTTTTTTTGCGATGGGCCCAATCTTAGAGCCATTTCCCCTGTTCCACGTATTTAAGAAAGATTGACCATTTTTACTGATGCTCCGGATCTTCCGAAAGACGGTTCCATAGCCATCTAGTTTATGTCACGATTCCAAATTCTTTCTTTTACCAGAGCTAAATGTGTATACGGAAAACTGCGGAGCTCTAGGATAGCTTCAAAGTTTGACCACATTTGTGGATGTTGTAATTGTATGTATCCATTGTATGGATGTTCAATTGCCAAAAACAAATCTCAGCAAAGTACGAAAGTCCAAGATTTCGCAGAGTTCCATGGAAGTTGGAAATAGATAGATCTGAAGAACTACAGAAAAGTCCGTAGATCTTAAGAGAAATCTGTAAAATTTCAGGAAGTTCGTACATTTTTAGAAAAAATTGCAAGAATTCACCAAAACTCACAGAACTTCGGGGAAGTTCGCCGATCTTTAGAAGTATTTACACAGCTTCAGAAGAAATTCAAAGAATTTCAGATAAATCTGCAGAACTTTATGAAAGCCCAAGACTCCACAAAGAAACTAACAGAACTTTAGAGAAGAGTTACTGAAAATTCTGCAGAATTTAATTGAGGTTCTTGGAATTTTAAGAGAAATTTACAGATCTTCAGGGAAGTTCGCTGATCTTTTTATATATTTGCATAACTTCAGAAAAATTAGTAAATCTTCAGAGAACTTTCTTAAAATTCCGGGAAACTCAAAAAAATTCTAGAATTTTTTTTTATTTAAGGAAGTTGTGCGATGTTCAATAATGAAAATCTACAGCGAAAATTATAGAACTATCGCGAGGTTCGTAGATTATTTGAAATTTAGTGAACATCAGAGATAATTGTTGATATGGATTAAATCTGCATGGATTCAGTAAATTAAGGATATAAATTTTTAAAGAAATTTTCAGAACCTTAAAACAACATACAGGGTTTCTAATAAATCTGCAGAAATACCGAGAAATTTGCAGATCTCCAGGAAAATTTGATCATCTTCAAAGATATTTTACAAGAGAACAGAAATTAAACTTCAGGGACGTCGGAAGGTATTCAGAGAGATATTCAGAATTGAGATCTTAACAGAAATTTTCAGAACTCAAGGAATCAAGAAGATCTACAGAGAACTTTTCTCACTAGCTTGTCGAAAGTTGGTATCGACATCCTGACGAAGATTTGAAATCCTTTATCGTCTTAATATCGCAGTTCATAAAGGATATGATGAGCCAGATCCCTGCCGGTATTCCTCCTGATATTTTACCCAGAATGTTTTTGTTCCAAAATTATGGAATGCTTGCTATAAATTTACTTTTTAATAACATGTGAATGTATATTCAAAGTGTTTTTATGTTACTTCATACGCGAAGTTAGCGATTTTCAGAGCTGTTTGGATATGCTAACATGAAGCTAATGATCTTTAGAAGAGGGTAGGTGGATAGTTTCGTTAGAGTACGGCAGTATGAAAATTGAATAGAAGTTGAAAATGAGCGAAAGGCCATTAATGCGACAGTTTTTGAAGTCAAACGCACATCTTTTGCCTAACCCGTACGATGTACGCGGAGACTTGAAGTATGTCTTCAAGTCTACAGGCAAAAAATGTGCGTCCTCCTTTTGCTCATAACTGACTGCGGCTGTTCGCACGACGACCCAGTGAAAATGGTTCTAGAAAGCGACCCAACAGGAACAAAAAAAAGAGGCGTGCAGCGGGCAAGGTGGATCGACCAAGTAGAAGGTGACCTGCGGACCCTTCGCAGACTACGAGGCTGGCGAACTGTGGCCATGGATCGAGAAGAGTGGAAACGACTTCTTCGGACAGCAGAGGACAACAAGGCCTTAGCCTGATTGGTAAGGTAAGTGACTGCGGCTGTGGAATAGTTCTAGCGATGTTTCATCACTACCTAAAGCCCTCTAGCTTCTCTAGCTAATAAATTATCACACTAAATCTTCATGCTAGCATTTCCAACCAACTCTGAAAATCGCTAACATCGTGTATGAAGTAACATAAAAACATTTTGAATGTAACAACTCAAGGCGGGAGTAGCCGTCAACACAGAAAAAAAAGTTGTTGAATATAACATCCAAACAGCTGCACAGAGGTAATTCCGCTGGTGGTGTAATCCCTAGTAGCACGCTTGTCACAAATCAATTGTAGAAACTTATATACTACTTCTTTCAGTCATAAACAAGTTGCTGTAACTTATTGTGATGAAAATGTGCTACTCGGGATATTACGTTGTACGGTGTATACCGATTTTGCGAACAAAATTGCATCCATTGATGTAATATTGTATCTGATTTTTGCTATTACATCATTATTTCATACATCAGCTTCAATTACGTTGATCGATATTACATTTTTTTGCTGTCAACAATGCTGATGATGGTACAGCACGCAACAACCACCCTACTGATTTCTCTCTGAGATGACCACGTTGGTCATGACGAGAGGAGCAACAAAATAGTTGGGTAAAGAAGAATTGCATTAAATATAACACACCATCGACTGGAAATGCTCTCGCAACGTGGGGCTTTAGGTAGTGATGAAACGTCGCTAGAACTATTCCACAGCTGCAGTCAGTTATGAGCAACAGGAGGACGCACATCTTTTGCCTGTAGACTTGAAGACATACTTCAAGTCTCCGCGAATATCGTACGGGTTAGGCAAAAGATGTGCGGTTTGACTTCAAAAACTGTCGCATTAATGGTCCTTCGCTCATTTTCAACTTCTATTCAATTTTCATACTGCCGTACTCTAACGGAACTATCCACCTACCCTCTTCTAAAGATCATTCTCTAGCTAATAAATTATCGCATTAAAGCTTCATGTTAGCATTTCCAACCAACTCTGATGTGAATGTATGTTTGTACGAATGATGATGATTGTAGATTTTTTTAAAAAGTAAAAGAAATCAAAATTGATTGCCCTTTGAGGAACCTTAAGGCACTGGCTTATGGACTTTCAAGCCGTTCTAAGCTATTTCTGTGTATTTTTAAGTCAAGATTCTATTTTATTTTGTTGTAATTTGGTATTTTTTGTTCTTTTTGAGTTTGATGTTTTTGGGTAATTTTGACATTATCAATGCTGTTTTGGAGATTCTGGGTCTATTTCAAAGGTATTGTGGGCGGTTTTCTGGCCATTTGGGTGTTAATAGGGAGTTTACCCCGCTATCTATTACGAGCTTCAAAAGTTTTATTTTCGTTATTAGGGCATTTTGGACGTTTGAGATTATTTTGATGCTTCAAGTGCTGTTATTGTCGTTTTAAGGGGAAAAAGGACGTCATTATTTTTTGGAAATTCCAAAGCAATTTTTGATGTTTTGATGCCCTCTTTCACCTTCACGACTACTGAATCTTAGCGATTTCATTGTTATTTTATTGGTTTTCAGGTTGTTTTGAAGTTTTAGAGATTTTTTGTTGAGATTTAAAGCAAGGTGAATTCGGATTATTTAAGGTTTTCAACACTCCAAACACTATGTCTCTGGTAAAAAATGTAACGCGTGATGCTCAGCAATGTATCGATAGATTTTATACCTATTGATACCGAATAATTTTTTAAGTATGTAATTACGTCATTAGATTTGAAATTCGTCAATAAATGGCAGAGCTATGATTTTTCAAATATTGCAAGTTAGCCGTTACACTTTTTACCGGAGGCATCGTGTTCGGAGGGTAAATGCATTTTGGTGTTCTTAACGTCATTTATGCTGAGAGTTTCGAATGGAGTTACAATTGCAGCCCCACCAACCTGATGCAGGTATCGCGACTCTAGTAACGCAGCTTACTGAATTCCCCCACCTTTGTTGATAGAAACGAAGAATAACGAGTGGAATTTTCGACAACTGATGGAATGTCATAATCTAAAAGCGATTGGTTAAGGACCGAGTCAAGTGAAGAAGAATTCTTCTCAAAGTGGATCACAACCGATGAAAGTTTGTGTTTGTTAGAGCTGTGGGTTTTACTGGAAAGAACACCTATACGTAGTGACCTTGATCGGAATCAGAGAAGCCAAAAATATGGTGATGCGGGATAGGTACTGTATCACACATCACACCCCACCTAGATAAGAGAAACAGCTTTCTAGGGAAAAATGCATATTTACTTTTCAATCGTGCTCACTTCGTTCATAGTAGGTGGACTGTACAGGAAATCAAATGGCACACTACCTTTCAGAATGTGGAGACGAATGATGATCACTGATTCCAACGATGCGGTTATATGTGAAATGCATCTTATGGTATCTTGGGTTGGCACAAGGCATGTGTTTTTATTTAAGGTTGTCAGTACCTCCGTTGTTACCGCAAATCTGCTCCATATTTCTTTCGTTCATATGTTTGGCTAAATTTGGGTTCAATCTACATAGAGTAAGTTCAAGTACAATATAAAGCTTATTTAAAGGTGCTACGGTTAGGAAGCAATACTGAATAGAGTTGGCATATTTAATTATGATAGGTTGAAGCGTTTGGAATGAACTACATTACAAGAACTGCGCAATAAATTTATCAAGTGGTTCTCATACATTACGTGTATTGAACTGTGCTGAATTCTATACAAGGTCCCGATAACTTACATATCAGTTCGTACTAATTGATACTTATTCGAGTGTATATGTATAATATGTGTGTTTTTGCAGCATGTTTGTGTATGCCACTAGCATTCTAGTCTAATAGTTGAATGATCAACTGTAACATAACTGGTAAAGTACGGACACGGAGATACATGGACAAATTTTGTGGACGGACATGACAAAGAGTCGATATTAATGAGTGTATATGAGTGCTGTTTTTAGCTGTGGGTGTACTAGTTTGAGAAAGTAGGAGTTGATTCTGTCAACTTACACAGGCTTCAATGTCTTCGTCGTGATCCTTCGAGCATCTGCTTTGACCTGCGCAGGCATGCTGGGACCCACTACCGCTGCAGACCGATTTGTATCCACGGCTGCCTGAGAACAGCTTCTGACGATTCCTTTGACTGAGACGGGGATGCGAATGATGATGGTGATGATGATGATGTTGGTGTTGCTGTGGTTGATGATAGTGGTGCCCAAGGCTAGTCGAATGCGACAACAATGGTCGCTGCTGTTGGCATAATGGCTGGCGGTTGATGGTGGATGCTTTTATCAATAGTGGACGATGATTCGGCTGCAGGAGTTCCTGTTCGGAGGAGCGTTGGCGTTGCAGAAGCAGTTGAGTCTGCTGGCTTTGGTTGCTGTTGGTCGGGTGTGGCTGTTCTTGCTCTTGCGATAGCGTGGTCGTTGTCGTTGGTTGCGAGTTCAGGTGAAGCCCACGCGGAGGATCATTCCCCAAATGCTAGCTGTCGACTTCGACTCGATGCAGTAGGGCAAACTGACAACCACAGTCTCGAGCGTGCGGTCGGGACAGGATCGGACATTGAAAGCATCGGTCCAGAAGGCTACAGCTGTCACACCGCGGAATGCACTGTAGGGGACGGGGTAAACATCGTTGTAGATTTGGTTTTTCAGGTTATACGGACGGGGAAAATGATTGGGACCTTTCTTTTGATGCGCTAGTGATCGATTTCTGAGGTATGTACAACATGGCTCCGAGAGAATGTGTTTGTGTATGTATGTGTGTGTGTTTTTTTGTAGTGATACAGTGTGTAGTTACAATCATCAGAACGTGCTCGGCTTGGATAATTTTCTTTTCTCATTTTTTTTACTTTTTGCTCTCCTCTAGCATCCAGCAAGTCCACTAATGCAAAAAGTGCAATGCAATGCTGATATAAGGCTGATAGAAAAATGTAAAGCCGGTATCAGTCATACATTGCAAAAAGGGCCCCTATTGGCCTATTAACAGGCTTGGTGGTTACTTGGGTCGTCTATTATGTCAAATGATTCAACTAGCGTCAAAATGATTGAATGGTTGACTACATTCAGACGGAAAATATGGAACTTTTTGTATTGTAAGAATGATATGCACTCCCCGTTACGAGTATAGAATGACTCAAGAAAGCATTTTGCAATGCTTTCTTGAGTCATTCTATACTCGTAACGGGAAGTGCATATCATTCTTACTATACAACAACTTATATTGAATATTGGATCACCACGAACTTTTCAAGGTGATCCAAAATTCAATATGAATTTAGTAATAATTTTCCAAGCAATTCCAACTTCTGACAGGTAGTGTAGATAGGAGATGTTTTAAGTAATTTGTGAAAGTTATTTCTTAGCAGAAGGCGTAAAATGTCATTCGATTAAGGTTTCCGTAAGAAAATATAAATTATATCTCTTACAAAAGTTGCATATTCGCAACAATCAATACTGTCATTAAATTTATAGTAAGAGACATTGAAAGCTTGTTGAATTGAAAAACACGAATCAACCATTTTTTACTTTATTCGCCGTGAAGCTTCAATTGACGCAGATCTTTTACTGTTGTCGTAAATTCCAATGTATGTATGAGTTTCGGTACGTTTTTTTCAAACGCATTTTAGATATGTGTTTAACCCTTTTTTGGGGTTTTAATTGATAATTACGATAAAAAACTATTGCCATAATTTTTTTTATTGAGGTGATGTAAGCCATACAAACTGTTATGGAGCGCAAATCCTTGTCTGTATCGCTTAATCAACTTCGAGCGCTTGCTAACCCTATTGTACATACCCATTCATGTTCAATGAGCCATAATTATAAACATTAAATATGTTAAGTCGCGTAAATCGTTCAAGAGTTCAGATTATGTGATCTACTATGCTTGCATAATGTCCTCAGAAATAGAGCATCCCTTAAAAGATTCCAAGAGACTAAAGCACTATTAAAATGTATTTTTCATGCATATATTATATTCTAGGTTCTTCAAATTTTCCTTGAGCTCATTTCATTTGATCCACAAGGTCAATCACAACTGAGAAAATGTCCCTAGCAGTAAAACAAACAGATTCATTGAGTATTCGCATATGTTTTTCGATCCATCTTTACGTAGGTATATAAGATGTTCCACACAGAAAAAAATTTGAATTCTACTGGTGATGTAAACATTCATGCAAGTAAACTTCTTTTTCGCGTAAACTAGCAACTTGCAAGAAATGTTGCTTACAAAGAAGGATAGTTGAATACAACATTTAGAATATTTCATGAACTGTCTCATACATTTACACGATCTATGATGTAAACTTGTAGGATATATGACATTATAATTATGTGCATCATAGAAAAATACATTTACACTAATTTTTCGAACTATTTAGGTTCTCCAATTAGAAATGGGATTCATATCATCAAATCCACTTGATAACACCTGCCCAAAGTTTTTTTTATTCGTGGACCAATTAATCGAGTCCATCAACATATGGGCTGACATCAATGGCATTTCACCGACTTGACCAGGCCTGTCATGGTGGTTACTTATGGTTACTAGCGTGGGTCACCGTTATGATGATGATGATGATGATTATGATGATGATAGTGGTCTACTACCCATTATAGCATGGAATGTCCGATAGCAGAGGGCTCTCTTCTCTGTTCGTTTTGATCAAGCTGAATAACCTCTGATTGTCCTCAACATGTCGCTGCATGAAGGGACAAAAACGTATTGGGTGAATTGATTGACAAAGTCGCCTATACGCATCTACGGGACAGTAAAGAATCTACTTCCAGCAACATGACCATACAATTGATCAAAAAGACGATCCCTCAAACAGATACCTCAATGAGTGGGGAGAAGAGCTCGCCCTTTATCCACGAAATGTTATCAACAGGGAATTGACATTTCCACTCTCGCCGTACAAATCGCTTCAATCTGGTGCCCTGAAGGTCCCTCCCAATCCCAGTATTGTTTTGCATACAGCCATTCCATAGAAAAAGGATATAGTGGGTCTCAGAATGTCGTAAAAATTGGTAGTTTTGTTCCTTATCGCTAAATATTTGACCAGTATTTATTTATTTTGTCATTAGAGTGACCACTTCCATGTTAGGGTGGTCCAAGAAATCGATGTTTTTTTTTCAAAAATTACGTTTTTCAAAACTTGTACACACATTGCTTATTTTTTAACTAAATTTTCAAGGGAAAATATAAAAACAGATAGCGCTCTCTGTGTTAAAACCATAAAAACCATAAAATTAACACAAAACAAACATTGTTTTTCAATACAGAATCCAAACTTTTAAATATCATTATGTGTTCCGATTTTTTTTTTTGTAATTACCTTTCATTTGATATTTTGATATTTTAAATCGGCTGAGTATTTCAAAAAATATGAATTAAATTTTTTTGACCACCATAACATAGAAACGTTCACGACCATAATAAAAGCCGGTCCTATATTTTGCGATAAGGAAAAAAATCTAACAATTTCTACGAAATTCTGAGAACCACTTATCGTTTTGCTATACAATGGCTGTATGTATACGAGCAACAATAAAAGTTTAAAATTTAAAACGATCTCATCAACCTTTGCTGTATCTTCACCCTTCTGTAAAATTTTCGAGCCTATTTGTGAACTTATTTCCTTTCTCTGCATCACTGCTCCCGAAAGTCTGCCATGTTATTTCTGATGTGTTCTACGAAATTTTGACGTCCATTATCTTCGTATGATGATCTTGAGTTTTTGGTTGCGTTTTATACAACCATAACACCAGTGCGGGAGAAAAGACAGTATCTGCGGGTATTTTCTTAACGAGCATCAATCCATTGTCGTTTCGAATGTGCTCAAATTTGCAGCACTTCTTTCACTTTTTCTTTGTTGACTCCATGGTACCGGAAAATGTATTTATGTATACATTATAAGCAATGCTGTGATATAACCACAACGGTATGGTTGTTCAGAATGGTTTAATGTATTTCAATGCAAATTTTTTGAATAACTATTAAACCATTTTTCAATATGTTACCTTAACTAATTTCTGGAAGAATTTACTTGTGTTTTATACAATTAGTATCAATGTTCTGACAAATCGTATAATAGAGATTTTAAGGAAAGTTTAAATATTTTAAGGACAGTTTCATTTATTTCAGAGCATTACCAAGCACTTTGGGAGAATTGATAGATAGATGGCAGGATGGCTTTGAGAACCTCAATTCAATTAACTTCAAGGAAATAAAGAAACTTTACAGAAGTTCCAAGAAACTCAGGGAATTTTCGGAAACTTCAGCAAAGTTCTGACATCTTTACAGAAAATCAGAGTACTTTGAAGAAGTTTACTGATGATTAAGCAGTATCATTTTATTCAGAGATGTTCCACGTTTTTCAAGGAAGATCAGAGATTTTCAGAGCTTTTCCATTAATTAATTGCAGGAACTTTGAAGAAGATCGGAGAAATTATGGAATATATCAAGAATTTCGGGAATTTTCTGAAACTTTCTTTAAACATGTGAATATTAGGAAAATTTGTAGGACGCTAGAGAAGTTTCCAAAACCAATTGAAAAATTAGGAAACGTTAGAAAAAATTAGAGAACTTCTTCCAAATTGAAAAAGTTTGGAGATTTACATGAATGTTCCATGAGCTTCAAAGAAGTAGCGAAAACATCAGAAAAATTGCGGGAGATTCGAAATAGATAAAATAACTTCAGGGCAGTTCAGTTATCTTCAAGAAAATTGCATCAACATTAATAAACTTCTGAGAAATTCACGACTAGAGAACATCGTACATCGTACTTCAGGGAAACTCCGAAAACTGCATAAAAGTCTAGACTTTCGGGAACTTTAAAGATATTGAAACATTAGTTATTTTGTTTCGGCTTTCAGTCTTCAAGAAAAAGTTATACAGTTTTATCATCGTCAACGTTTCGATCCACGGGTTGGTATCTTCATCAGGACTAATTAAATTTTAAGATCGTAAATTTTTTGAGCTGAACGAAAAACGGTACAACTTTATATTCTCTGAAGAAGGCCAAGTTCAAAGACCAAAACATTGGACATAAATCATCCTAGCGTTTTGATCCACCGTTAAACCGAAAAACCGATTAGTATTTTTATGCTTTATGATGAGCTGATAGTTTATCCGTACCCTAGTTATAACTAGAGAAAACTAAATTGTTTGTGCATTCCGACATTACAATTATGGGCGCTTCATAAAGCGGGCTTCTTGGACTCAAAAAACCACAAGTCATCGACTTTTCGATATCGCTGAGAGTCCATTTTTCCTCATGATGAGATTGAAAAAATATGTTTGCATGTTAATTTTCTCACGAATCTAAGGAAAAACCAATTTTCTTGGATAGATGATAATTTTTTCCAAATTTTTTAGATATATAAAAACACACATTAAAACAAATTTTATTTTTGGGGTGGTAAACTTCCCCTTAATACAACCAGAAACCGCCATCTTGGATTAAAAAATGGCGTCGGGCATCGATTTCCGGTCTATAGACGTCACCACGATTCAAAAGATACCCATATTTACAAGTGTTTTATAATGTTTCCCAGATTTTGAGATAACCAGAAACCGCCATCTTGGATTTCATAATGGCGTCGGAC